GAATGGCCAGACCCAAGGAAGCGTTGCAAAAGACACCCCTTTTGGCTGTTCCACACCTTTTTAGCAAATTCATGCAAATTCAAATCCTGACCTGTGACGATTTTTCAGCGTGGGAACGGCGCCGAGATGAAGAGTAGTAAAAGGGAAATACAGTAGATTTAGTCATATGACCCGAAGCCCTACTGGGGCCCCTACTGGTGGGACACACTCCCTCCACAGACGTGGTTGAGCCAGACCCATTGGTCTTCCGAAAAGCCTCTTTGGCCTGACCCAAGGGTCCCAACCATGTGAGCGGATAGAGGAACTGGAGGAACCCCCTGTGGCCACCGTGACCACCCCCTACTCCAAAGGGAGGGACTCCAATGGAAGCCCCGTTGGGCCTTCGACCGACATCGCGATTCAACCCGGCGCTCCCCACCAGCTCGCTTGGATCAAGTCCGACCTCGGGCGCCGAACGACGTAGGGGCGTGGTCACGGTGAGGATCAGAACATGAAAAAACCTGTGGGGAGTAGGTGATACTAGGTGCATCCACCTCCATTATGATGCCATAGATGACGATCTTGGATGCTTGGTAATGCTTGGTGTATATATAATTAATGCATGTATCAGAAATTCCTTGATCATGAACACTCAGCGGGCACGACATGGAAAATAGGGAAACCGGCTGAATCTTCCAGTGATACAATCTCGAGCCATCGTTGTCTGCTTCCAAAAATTACCTCCCTTGCTACAGTAAATCGTCGTAGAGTTCAGCTGCTTTGGGGGACCGAGCGACCTGTTCTCAAGTTGTCGTTTTCTGCTTCACTCTCTGCACCACTCCATCCCTTTCTGCACGGAAACGCAGCACCTCCCGTTTTCGCTCCGCAGCCCGGAGCTCCGCAGCGTCCGCGTCCACCAGTCGTGGACCTCTCTCTCGCGCACCGACGACCCTCTCGGGGCGCACCGGCGACGGTCCGTGCCGGTGGATTGCAGGCGAACGCAGCGAGTAACTCTTGTCTTGCACAAGGCCAGGTGTATTTACCAAAGAACGAATCCAGGTCACCGAGCTTAAAAGCTCGTTCTGAGAGTTGCTGACGTTCCATAGGTTTACGAAAAAGGGATGCTTCGTGACCCTGCATACGCTATCACATCACCCATCATTTCACCTTCCCAGCTTCCCAGCTCCGATTGCCTGACCAGACTGACCAGAACCCGGGCCGCGCCTGTGTTCATTGAAGGCCCAATTGCTGCGCAGCATTCTGACGCAGCCAAGGCATGAGGTTTCCAAGTGTGGGAGGCAAATGAAAGGTAGAACCCTCCAAACAAGGCCAAAAACGGAAGTGGACGAGTAGAGGAAGGGCCACGAGCGAGACCAAATTGGCAAAGCCCTCCAGGAGGCCAGGACCTCTACCCCACATCCGAATCAGAATCCAACCGCTGAGAACCCTGAGAAGATCCCGATCAAGTCTCTGGCCAGGCTGATTTCCCTCCATTCCTCTGAATTCCCCACCTTGCCAGTGAGCAACTCAGCAGCCAAAATGCCGGAGGTGGCAAACCTCAGGAAGAGCGAAAAAGGTCGCCCCGGTGATCTTCGCCTCTCCCGGTGATGGTCCGCTGTTCTCTGTCCATCATCATGTTCTCTACCCTTGTAACATGGGACGATCATTGATCTCCATAAGGCGGTTCAAGTCGGGACGCTTCGAAAGGAAGCGCCTCGCCTCGTCGGACCCAACGTTGACGGACCCGAGGCCCCGATGTTGGCGATCAAGAGTCAAGAGGCTCCCAACTCCCATCCCCTGCGCTCCGAACCCACAGTGTGACTTCCCCGGGAAGGATGTTCTCACACAAGTCACATGCCAAGACCTGTCCCAGGTCGACAAAAGAACCAAAAACGAACGAAGATTTGGTGACTTGTTCGAGCGAAGGTCGCTTTCATGGGCATACAAATCCATAGAGTGCCATAATGATCGCAAACTTCGCAAGTCCGTGTGCCATATGCCAACCACCCACGTACCTCGGGCAGTTAAAGACGAATGCCCCCAACTATTCCTATTATATAATCACCTCAGCTTGAGAAACCAACAAAAAAGAGCTGAGGTCCTCCTACTGCGGTCAACACACAATCGTTCGTGCAGTTGCTAGAAACAAGCATACACTACCAGGACCCCCTGGTAGGGGCTATTAATCAACACCCTTTCCGTGGTGCTGGTGGAATGAATCGTGCATTTGTTCTCGCGTGAGGAGAACCTGATCACGACCATAGACCGCCCAGGCACATGGCAAAGCGCCCATTGTTCAGCTCCTATTGGTCGAGTGCCGCGTCGGAGGCCCCAACGCTTGGGAGGAGAGGTGGAACGGTGGAGCGAGCAAGCAATTTGCAAAAGAATAAGTTGATACAGCAACTCAAAATTAAGGATAAAACAATGACTGTGACCATGACCTTGCTCCTATCTTTCTTGTGGATAGTTCCATCTTGGATCAAGAGTAACGAAACCCAATTGCCACGTTGATCCTTTTAAAAGCCGAAGCGAGGAGTCCATCACAAAAAATCTAGAAAGATTCCAACTTCAGCTGAATCTCCTTCGCTTTGCGAGCAGGCAATTCTTAAAAGCACCCCTCGCAATTTGGACTGACTTCGGAATGGTCAAGCTCGCCAAAGAGCTGCAATCTGCAAAGGCAAGACTGTCAATGTAGATCACCGACTCTGGAATTGTCAAGTCTACCAAAGAGCTGCAATCATGAAAGACAAGGGCCCTAATTTGGGTGACTGAAGCTGGGATGGTCAAGTTTACTAAAGAGCTGCAATTCTGAAAGGCTGCAACTCCAATTTCAGTCACAGAATCTGGGATGGTCAAGTTTACTAAAGAGCTGCAATTCTGAAAGGCTGCAACTCCAATTTCAGTCACAGAATCTGGGATGGTCAAGTTCACCAAAGAGCTGCAGTTCCGAAAAGCATTACCTTCAATGTGGATCACTGAGTTCCCGATGGTCAAGCTTGTCAAAGAGCTGCAATGCTCAAAGGCACTCTTCCCAATGTGGGTCACTGAGTGTGGAATGGTCAATTTGACCAAAGAGCTGCAATTCTTAAAAGCACCATTCTCAATGTGGGTCACTGAATTCGGTATGGTCAGGTTCACCAAAGCGCTGCAATTCTCAAAGGTATGAAGCCCAATGCACGTCACCGAAGCTGAGATGGTCATGTTTACAAGAGAGCTGCAGTTCTTAAAGGCACCATTCCCGATACTGGTCACTGAGATTGGGACGGTCAAGGTGACCAAAGAGCTACAATTCTGAAAGGCACATTGCCCAATGTGGGTCACTGAATTTGGAATGGTCAAGTTGGTCAAAGAGTAGCAATGCCCAAAGGCATATTCCCCGATGTGTATCACTGAGTGGGGGATGGTCAAGCTCACCAAAGAGGTGCAGAAGGCAAAAGCATCACTCTCAATATCGGTCACCGAGTCGGAAATGCTCAGGTTCGCTAAAGAGCTGCAATTGGAAAAGGCATATCGCCCAATGTAGGTCACAGAGTTTGGGATGGGCAGTGTGGCCAAAGAGCGGCAATATTTGAAGGCAGCATCCCCGATGTGTGTCACCGAGTCTGGGATGGTCAATTTAGCCAACACATCACAGTTTTGGAAGGCTCCTGCTTCGATTCGAGTTTCGCCACTTGGGATTTCAACAATGAGTAAAAGTTCCAAGTCAATGTCACTGGTAGAGCTGGCGATCAGATCTTTTTTCTTGGAGCATCTGACGGTGTTTTGCTTGAAAACAACACTCGCAACAGCATCTGCAGCAAGCCCTGCATCAGCCAGCGTGTCATCATTGCCCAGCAACCTGTCTCCAACAACAATTTCCACCACAGTAGTTCTCCGCGTTGCCTCGTCCCAGGGCTGCCCTTGTTTGATCTGCTGTTTGAGCTCTCTACCTGTCATCTCTGGCATGACGTTGAGGCGAACCATCTCGCCATTGACCTGCAGCGCTGAAATGCTCATCGCCATGGCGATCATACAGTTGCGGAATGCTTGCAGTCAAGAAGTTGGTGGCAAAACGGAGATATGGCTCGGTCTTCAACAAACCACCTGATACTTCGTCCTGTGACTCATGAAAAAGACCTGGACTGCACTCCTTTTCGCCCGTAGCAAGGGTGCCAAACTACACCTCAGCTCAGCTGACCAGCCGTGAAAGGCTTGGACCTACAACATCTTCATTTCTCCGCGCAAGAAGACCACTTTCGAATGGAGAATCAGACCGCCTAAATCCAAATTACACCAGCATAGACCTCAGATGGCAAAAACATGCAAAAAAAATTGGACAGCACCCTGCACCCAGCACCAGCACCAGCGCCCGGTACCCAGCACCAGCACCGGCGCGCACCGCCCAGCACCAGCAACCTGTCTCCACCACGTGCACAGCCAGCTCACAGCACCAGCACCAGCACCAACACTGGCACCCGGCACCCAGCACCAACACCAGCAACCTGTCTCCACCACGTGCGCCAGCTCACAGACCCAGCACCGGCACCCGGCACCCAGCACCAGCACCAGCACCAGCAACCTGTCTCCACCACGTGCACAGCCAGCTCACAGCACCAGCACCAACACCGGCACCCAGCACCAGCACCAGCAACCTGTCTCGAAAACGCGCACGGGCAACTCATTGTTATTTGAAGTAAGAACCCCATAGCTTCGCTATCTGGGGAAAAACCTTCAGTGCCTTGGGAGGGCAACATACTTCTACCAGCACCCTCCAAGAGGTGTCTATAAATATCCTCTTATATGGTTAAGAAGTGTCCAAAAACCACCTGTTGGAAGGCCCTGGTAGGAGTTTCCCAGTCTTTCTCCTCAGACCGGTCACAAGAGGCCGCACCCGCCCCGGTTCCACCAACCGGTCCTAAAGACGCGTGGGGCCGGTTCTCGGGCGGTGCTCGGGCTCACTCGTCATTTGACGTTCTTTGTCCCACTTAAGGTGTTAAAAGGATTCACCCAAGAACCACATCACAAATCGGTGGCTATATCCTCTAGAGCTCTCCGATTCCGCTCGTGTCTGAGTTCCTGTCCTCCCAGCCACCACGAGCGGTTTCTCGTGTGAAAGGCGTTCGTGTTTCACGCGTCGGCATGTGAACCCGCGGCTCGCTGTCCCGCGGGTGGCGAGCGATCCGGAGGTCCTTGTTCCGCATGTCCCGGTCGTACATATTGAGGCCCAAAGGATCTCCAAAGTTCCCGGGCTCCTTCCAGGGATCTTCTTTCCTGGGGAGGGCGCGTGGGAGAAGGGATGTGGAGCTGGACATGGGTTGAGATGTCACGAACCAAGAGTGTCAAATCTATCCAAATCTGAAAAGAAACAAAATAATATGAGGAGCAGTCAAACATCACGGAAAGCGACCAAGTTGTTTTGTCGCCAAGATTTGCTCACCAAGCTTTTCAAGCATGCACCCAGATGATCCCAACTTGCAGGACAAAAGCTTTTTACCGACCCAACCAGCTCTAAAGGCCGTCGGCCTCTCCCATCAGCTGCAGTCGTCCGGTGTCTGGCATCCGCAAGCGGTCTTGTTGAAGGTTTCGGCGGGCGTGATCAAGCCATAGTGATCGGACAAGTCTTTGAAGTTGCTAAGCAAGTCACCAAGACCTTTTGGTCCTTTCCACGTGCATGTGTCATGGAATGCCTGGACATAGCCATAGCTTCCCTGCTCAGGCTCTGTGGCATGCCAGGGGCTCTTCTTACCCTGGTTGAACCATCCCTTCGCCTTCCACTCACCACTCTTGGCCAAGCGGCAGAGCTTCTTTTTGCACGCCTCATCGACCAACTCTTCTGAATACTTCCACACATTGCTGCCCTTTGGAGCCTTGCAGCAATCGGGTAGATCATCCTCCGCCAATCGAATCACACAAAGGTCTTCTTTCTCGCCATTGTAGTTGATCGCCCCCTTGACTCTCAAGGGTGCTACGATGCGATCGTCTTGTGGGAAGTAGAAGAAATACCAGAAGCACTGCGCGTACGGGATGTTGGTTACATAGTAGGGCACATCATGGTAGCCATAATCCCCATGAAAGGTCCTCTTCCCAAACCGCACCCAGCTTGGACCAGGCTTTCGCCTGGAACAGTCAACCTCTTGCTCACAGGCACTTTCCTTCAAGTCCTTCACTTCGGCCATTTCAAAGCGGCCGGCCCTGACAGCACGGGCGGTGAGAACTGCCAGGCTCAAGGTGAGCCACGACAACAATGCCTTGGTGGGCAGCATAGAAGCATTTGCAAGAAAGTAAACAATCAACGGCTTTTCAAAGGCACCTGCTTCTGAACTCAAAGCGCGCTTGAGCCCAGATGTTCCATTTCTGCGGTCACGCCGTTTCTTTCTTTTGCCTGACTGGGCAGCATGGATAGCGGGCAAGGGCTACAAAAAGGGCACTCCCTTCTCAAGCCATCCCCAAATTCAAAGGACTTCGGTGTCTCCAATGCATTCATTGTGAAATTACCTGTTTGTTGGGAGTTCGAACTTTTCCATGCCCACGACAAGAGTACTTTCATGTACTTTCCATGGCAGCCTCCGGTCGACCGCCATTCCGAATTCCTTGTCTTCACCATGCAGCCCAAGGATCCACCAAAGCAACTCCACCAGTGCGGAGATGATGACCACCATGCCGAAGACCCACAACGAGGGCACCAACAAGGCGGCTTTATATCCTCGCATGCTGAAGCCCGTCACGACGCTTTGCTTTTGATTGCTTCGTTTCAACCGCCATGTTCCGAAACCAGAAACAGCCTCAACTATAAGACATGAATGTCGGAAAGTGTACAAAGGGCTTGGTGGGACAAATGTGGATTCATGGATGAACATACTTTTTCAGCAATAGCAAGCTAAGAGGGTGAAACGGAGTGAACTATACTATATGTAATTATATATATATAATCCAAATAGTACAGGCCACCATCGTTGGTTCTATCCAAACACTCCTCTTCCCAGAAAGAAACTACCCCCAATTTGAGTGATGGTGCCCCTGTCGGAAGCGGTGGGTCAAACCCTCCGATACCTTCCACCCCTACTACTGCAAGAGAAAGGTCCGTTCAAGGAGGGACTTTTGTCCAGCCCGCTGTTGCCTTTGACCCTATCCCATATATAACATAGAGACACCTACAACTTAGAAAGCCCGTAAAAGCCTTCGGATCACTGGTTGATCCAAGAAATGCACCAGTTCCGACCACGGGTTCCTGAGGTGACCAGGAGTGAACCCCCAGATTTGGAGCTCCCAGGAGCCTAACAGGTGTTTGCTGGGCACCAGGTGTTACCTGTCAGCGAGAAACAAACCTTTGGAGGGTCCGGGTCCAAACAGCGATCAAATACGATCAAGTCACTGTGCGTCAAAGCCCCGTAACCCTGGTTGACCGCTGAAAATGAACGGATTCCTCTATATACAAGTTTTGACCCACAGCCAAATGGGTTTCCTCCAATCGCTGCTTGAACCAGCCTGCTGCGCTCGTCCCACCGTCCCGCCTGCGGGGGAGTCTTTCAGCCCCAGGAACCTGGAGGATGGGAGTCTCTGGTGGGGGAACCTGCAAAAATGAGGTGCTTTCTGCACCAAACTCGGGCTGGGACAAACCAAGGATGAAGGGATGGCAGGAAAGTTCAAGAGGAACCTGATGATTCAAAGGAGTTGAAAGCGGAGTCTTTCACCTGCACTCTGAACCTCCCAACCTCCAACGACAGATCCACGGTGCTGCAAGAATTCCTTCCCGCAATGCCCGGAATGCGACACCGTCCAAACAGCTTGAAAACCCCACCGTGAACTTTCACACGCCCTGCAGAAAGACCTCAAACATCCTCAAACGACCAAGTCACGGCAGTCGAATGTAGCACTGCGCCAGCAAGCCCACCGCTGCCAGCATCGCCACGCGCCCATGCTTGAGCTCTGCAGCCCTCAGCTGCTTGAACTTCCCCTCATCGCCCGGCGGGCAAAATCCCACGGGGTCAAAATACCCCAAGGGTTCCATGGCTCCAGGCTCCTCCTTCGGATCGAAGGGCATCCGCCGAGCACGGGCCTTGGGGGCCTTTTGGACCTCCTCCGCCTCCGCCTCCTCCAGCGCCTCGCCGTCCACCTCCGCCTGCGTCGCCTCCGCCGCCTCCGCGCGCCGAGGAGCGGCGCGGCGCCGCCGTGCGGCCACGGCGCCGAGCGCGGCGCCCAGCGCGACCGGTGGGGGGCGCCAAGGGCTGCGGTTGGCGCAGCCGTGAGGAACCACAGCGGGGTGGAGCGCGGGCGGGCCCGCCACATGTGTCACAGTGGACACGGACAACATCATGGCAGTGGCAGAAGAGGAAAAGCGAGAGAAAGAGATTAACGGCCAGAAAGACATGGAAATCCAATGGATGTTTCACAGGATCTGGTGGCCATGAAGTGAACACGATTGCTTTCTGTTCTTTCGTGCGTTGTTGTCTTCAAAGGACTTCAGTTTGAGCAGCAGCAAGGCATCATGGCTTGCTACCAAGATACCAAAACACACATTGATCCCTGAACTGGTTGCATGTTCATGGAAGCATTGCCCAGTCCCGCAGCTCAAAAGGATTTGAAGCTAGCTCCAAACAAAACAAACAGAACAAAACACAAAGCGAGGAAGGTATGCATATACTTGAAGGCTTCGGATCAAGAGCAGTTGCATAGACAAGCCGCCTGCTTGGTACTACATATATACATATATCATATATATATATATGTAGAGACGGGTCACCAATCCATGCTCTTCAAAACAGAACACCAACCACAACAAATGATTTTGCTTGGCACAATTCTTGAAACGACGGCCGGTCCATCCGAAAAAAGATAAGCGAGAAAAAAACGTTGAACGGACACCCATCCAAGCGCAGGACGATCCGCGATCAAGAGTGGTGACCTGCGATGCGTCATGCAGGCATCGTGAGTGTCGAATCCCACCCGTTTAAACGGAAGATCCTTGTAGTTGGGAAGGAGCGATATCACAAATAGATATCATAGAGCAGAATGCCCAAAGTCGACTGGGGTTACAGTTGAGGAGCAGCTCCTCTTCGGAACTGACCGAGCTACTATAGATGCATTTCAGAAAGATTCACCACCAAACTCTGCGATCGTTGACACATCCCAATCAACCTTGACACCTTCCAACAACCTTCCGATCGCTCCGATCACATCCGATGCACGCCATGCTCCAAACCCGACCCCATCTACGGCCCCAGCTGGGCCACCAGCTCGGCCGCCCTGGCCTCCCAGGAGAGGAGGTGATCCAACATGGCGATCAAACAGGCCGCCTCACCGGGTCTCAGACCCCACCGACCCCCCAACCCGGGGAAGGTAGAGTTCGGTCACTGGGAAGCTCCAGCAAGGTGGGGTTCCAATGATTTCTTGTAGGGTTGAGATTCCCAAGCTTCTTGGGGGGAGTTGATCTTACCCGAGCACTTGGAGTATGGTAGAAGATCCACAACACTTTGAGTATGGCACACTGGAGCACTTGGAGTATGGCTACATAATCAACATCATTGATTTTCTTCACACTTTGAGTGTCCGATGCGCCAGTACAAGTCTTGTGGATCTTGCGCCAGGAAACCTGTGGTGTCTGGTTGAACCATCGCGACCGGTGCGAAGCTTCGGAGGACAAGGTTATTCACCGTCTCGGCACCGAAAGCCGGGCGGGTTGCACCGTTCGAAGCCTCGGCTCCCGATCCCGGAGCTTTTCGAAGAACGAATCCATTCTTGTCAATTTCTGGGTGGAAAGGGGTGGACACTGGGAAATAGAGTGCCGTGCAAACAGCTATTAAGAGCCTTTTTCAAGAGCCTTCCCGAAATCCGAGTTTATCCAGAGGAACGAGCAGTGTTTTCAAACCAGGACCTTCACTGATTCTCATCAGACCTCTGGAAAACGCTCTGCCATATCACGCCTCTTCAAGCCTTCTGGGGTCTATATACATCACAAGTGGCCCTTCCCTGAACCAAAACGCCAGGCCAAGCCACTTGGGACCACTCCTTCTCAGGCAATGCTGCCTCAAAACAGCGACTGAAAAACCCGTGCAGGTCTCCCCCATGGATGATGAGCCCAAAGACTTGCCCTGGGAGTCCTGTCGACCAGGTCTTAAAAAACGGTCCTTAAGTGATCCGAAGACGCTCTGCTGGCGCCAGGAAGACATCTCCAAGAACTCTCGACATCTTTTGTAAGTCCAGGTCTTGCCGGGGCAGTCTGTAAATTGCTCAGGGAGTATATAATCCTTCCTGATCCTTCATTTGGGAGCTTCCGTCATGATGCGAAGATCATCTGTTGTTACATCAACTAGACTTCCGGGAAGAAGAGCAGGTACCCGGACCTTCCAAGAGGTGTCCAAGAGAGATTCATGTACGTCGGCCGCGGCCCCTTATCCGCACCCTCCACCCCTTGGATGGAACTGGTCGGAAGGAAAACCTGTCTCACCTTGCTATTAGTAGCATCCTTGCTATTCTACTATGCCAGGAGCTACTACTAGCGATGCCCTTGTTATATACTAATACTAGTTTTTTCATCTGCACCTTGATGTGGTCACTGCAGAGGTATCGCGCAAAGTCCGAGACCACATGACGCAGGTCCTCGCGGTGCGGCTCTGCGCGGCGCCCAACCCGCGCGTTCGGCGTCAACGGCGGCGGTTTGGCCGGCGTCGACCGGTCCCCCCGGCGTCCCAACGAGCGGGCAAAAACACGATGCACAGAAAGAATTCCATGAAGAACCGGATTCTTTGGGGATAAAGGACGGGTTCGTAGGAAGAGATCCCAAAAGAAAGGAAAAGCCGTGAAAAAAATAAAAAAACAACTTCTAGATAACTACACCCCTGGAATCGGGGTGTCTCTGAAAGTCGCCCTTTGAACCACCCCAATCGCTCACGTGGGGCCCCGTCTCACCACTGAAACCCCCCGATCCCATCCCTCCGTCCGTCTCCGTCCGTCTCCGTCCGTCTCCGTCCGTCTCCGTCCGTCTCCCTCTCCTCGCGCCAGCGGTTGTGCCAGCAGAGATGCATCGGGGGCAAGCCGTACGAGGGGCTTGAACCCCAATTCGGAGTATGCGGATTGAAATCCAACCTGCAGGCGCGGAATGAAGCGGGCACGCGTGCGAAGCAGGCGCGCGCAGGCAGCACGTGCGAAAGAAGGAGCGGGAAGAACACCGAAGGATCCTCCCTGCAACGCTTCTAAGCCCAAAGCACCCTTCCACCACACGCCTCCAAACCACGGAACGGGAAAAGAAGAACGCGCCAAAACGTTGAGACGTCCTCCCATGAAAAAAGAAAACGAAAAGAACAACGGCGCCAAGTGGTGCTTCCCAGCAGCCACAGGAGGAAGAGGAAGACCAAATCGCCCCAGAAGCGGCGTCCCAAGACCAGCTGATCGTCCCGGCTGCTGGAGGACGGCTCGGCCTCCGACAACAGCGCCGTGAGGCCTCAGAAAACGGGAACCCACCGGAGAATCTTCGGAGGATTTCATCGTCTTCCATGAAACCAGGCGAGCGTTGGCTGAGAAAAAGAAGTGCCGAAGTGCACTTCGGTGGAACAAACATACGACGTCTGAACAAACGTAGCGGACAAACATCTTTTGGACCGTCTTCGAGGTCCAATCCAACCGTTGGTCTCGTCTTGCCTTGGCCTTCCTTTCCTCTCATGCCAACAGCAAAACATGACCATAGAGACCTCCACTAGTCTTTAACAACCTTTGGAACCGAGTTCAAACCTTTAGAGCTCGAAACCTGGTGATCACTGCCAGCTGTGGCATCACCGAGCTGCTCTGGTGGTGCCTCGCCCGGGCTTCGGAGCGCCAAGGAGAACCCGTGTACCTGACCGGACCCGGCAGGTAAACCGTGTCGCTTGGCCGCGCAGCAGAACCCCGTGTTCGCGAACGGCCAAGAGAAGGATGGAAGGTCGACACTTTCTGAAGGAATCATGGGTACGTGGAGCCACCTATTTGTACCTGGACCCTCCTGGCGTGTTTCCTGGTGGCAAGTCTGGTGCCCAGGTTCACCACCTGTCAGGGTCCCAAAACAGCCTGTCGGAGGGTCCTGGTAGAGGATTTCATGGTGATCCACTTCTATGATGATTTCGGGGAGTGTATGTTGAAGAAGAACTGTCTCTTTCGGAGCTCCAGCTGCGACTGCTGAACAAGATGTTTGGTTACCGGTTGGGTAGGGTGGTTGTTGGGGAATCTCCCCTCTCAAGTGTACTCATCAGAACATGGAAGCCCAATCATGGATGAAAAATGTGTCTGAAAGATTCTAAATGAAGTCAAGAACGAGGTGGATCTTTGCTGGCTTGCTGAGTCGTGCTCTTATACTGATACTCTTCCATTCCATCGGAAGCACCAAAAACCAATAACAAAGCTCCATCCATTCGCATCGGTTTCTCGCCCGCCAGCGGATTTTGGCACATGCCCTCCCGTGGATCGTCACACCACCAAGATACACGTGCGGCATGCCCGGCCACTGTGGCGAAAGCTGCCATTGCAAGGCGTCCCAGATCCGCACCACCGCCTTGCCCACAGCGGAGCTCAAGGATGACGATGAGGCTGAGCTCTCCTCCGTTCGAGTGGGTCAGGGGGGGATTTTCCCAGCAACAGCATCCCCAGCCAGCTGGTAAAGCAGTGGCTAAGTGGAAATGTGTCCTGCATGTTGCTGTTTTTTGCCCCAAAACGGCACCAACAAGGTCCTCACCTTTTCAGTCCGAAGAACTCGGAGGGAGTTTTTTTCAGGGGCCCCCCTGCTCGATTGGAGCTCCGCTCCGGCGAAAAAACCATACCCCCAAAGAAAACCCAAGTGGCCGGTGAGCCCCCGAAATTCCCACACAGCCCTGGGGTTTTCCAACCCACGTCAAACGGATTGAACTCCACCTGGCGCCTCCCACCCTGCCGCCGCTCCCTTCGCCCCCCTCTCCGGCACCGGCGGCGCCAGCTGCCGCCGCGGCCGCTCGGACACCTGGCGCCGCAGGCGCTGCGCCATGTCCGGGCGGTGCTCCGAGGCCTTCATCAGCGCCAAGCCACCTGCGGTCGACAGTCGGTAGGACGGGTGGGCGCCCCCGAAGAAAACGGTCGAATGGCATGCAGAATTGAGAAGACCTCATTGTAGACTCTTGAGGTACATAACCCCACCCATTGGAATTGAAGAACCTCTTCATACCGGGGGGTTTATGGTCCTCAAGAGTCTACATTCAACGAGGTGACCAAAAAATATGACCCGTCTTTGTCCGTCCGGCTTCGCAGTGGTGCGACGTGCTTCCCACCACGAACGAACGTCCCACCTGCCACTGCCACGGCACCCGCTGCCCCCGT